TCAAAGAATACATTTGTACAAATGATAGAAACACGTTAGCGATCAAGATAAGATGGTTCAATTCTTACCCAATGACGTTCATCAAACTGCCTAGCGTTAATCTCATTGCTGTATTGGACATATGTATTTGTCGTGTATAAGGGGCTTGAATGAATGGCTATGGTAGTCGTTCACGTATTGGTGCTAGTTAGGAAGATTGAAAACTGACGAAGCTAGATATAGTTTTCTTAAACGCGAGTGAGTTAACTCATAGTTTTAAACTGCTTTTTGGTCTTCAGGTGGGGTAGCCTAGTGGTTAAAGCGTTCGCTCGTCACGCCGAATATCCGGGTTCGATTCCCCACATGGGTACAATGCGTGAAGCCCTTTCCGGATGTAACCCGCCGTGATATTGCTGGATTATTGCTAAAACGGCGTAAAACCTTACTCACTCTTATCAAATCTGAATCACAGAGTGGGCCGCTGAGAATGAGCTTCCGAAATTGTATCCACGAGGGCTGCAATCATCCGTTTTGACAATGATCTTTTTTGCATAGTCGTATGCGCACAAATTTCGAATCCCTTCGTCAACACTCATTTTGCAAACTGAGGCACACTTGACGCGAGATAAAAGATAGATTGTGAAATTACTTTTCCTTTTATGTACTCCATTTTGCATGATCAGTGTTGGAATGCTTTGAAAGAAATGCCAGATTCGTTCCTTATAAATTAATCCTTTACTGAAAATGCGAGGTCCGGAATTGTTACTTTCATTCTGAAATATCTCAGATATTTAGTCCCAGTTTATAGAGAGCCCGTGTGGGATCGTTTACGTTCAAAATTTTATGACACTGATTTTACAGTCAATTTTGAATTTCCCATTGTTCGGGATGTAGGCCAAGCCTCAAGCCCGCGCTAACAGAAAATTGACTAATGATTGAGATGAACTTGAGGATAATATATCGATCTATAACATACAACGCTAGAATTATGTGGGAAGATATTTTCAAGCACACGGTACATCTCCAAGCTACTAATGTAGGAAACATTACTTGATTTACGCCACAGTCCCAGCGTGCCACTGAAAATGTATCCTTCGTGGACGATAGTCCTTGGCCAACTTCTCATCTCCCTGAAAGAACTGGAGGAACGATAAACCCCCTTGGTGCCACCTTATGTACAGCAGCGGGCTAGACAATTTTAATTACACCCATGATCAGCTTCTATTGTCCTGAGGGGTAATTAATTTCAGTTACAGTTGTGTCAGAGCGACTCCCTCTGATACAGAAATACTGTGAAACCAACATATATTGGGATTCTGGTCATCGAGAATGTCTTCTCAATCACTGGTTAGTCTGATCCAGCTTTGACTTCTGATAAGGCAGTCTTTTACAGTCTCTTACGCGGCGCTACAACAAACAAACTCATGAACTGTTATTGTACACATGTATACAGCTATACTTTGTCTACATTTACAAAGTGTGGCACAGTCGTCTAAGGCATGCCATTAACTGTGCAGGGTGACGTCCCTTAGGCACGTCAGGAACCTATCATCATTGGGTCGCGACTGACGGGATCGTTTTGTCAGACTCGCTGACTTGGTTGATACATGTCATCGTATCCCAGTTGTGTAGAATGATGTTGATCACTGGATTGTTTGGTCGAGTGTCGAGTACTTGCAGACCGCCGCCATATAGGTGGAATATTGCTGAGTGCGGCGTAAAACTAAATTCACTCGCTCACCCATTCGAATCATGTCATGATTATGTTTCAAGGTTTTCAGCATCATATCTGCGCTGGCGGTAAACGTCTGAGACTTGCATTACTTCGGGTTTTTCTCCCACATTAAGCTGATACGCCACAAATAACTAAAATACTTTATCTATGCGTCATTTGACCAAAGCCATTCATATACTCCCTGTCCACGTTTTTGTGTTTCTACTAAGATTTGCTGACAACTAAAGATGGTTTGGTCACGAGTCAGTAATGTCAGCCCCAATGAGCTTGTTGAAACTGATTGAAACTAATTCTGTATATCTGATGAATCAGATAGGGTTATGTATGTACGAGATACATTCAGAAATAGTGATTACTCAAATCAGTGAGCGTCTTTGTCGGCGTTTGTGTGGATCTCCGATGCGGATTATGTCGCATTGCCTTAATCCCGGAAAAATTGAATAATGCGAGTTGTTGCAGCGTTTATATATATATATATATATATATATATATATATATATATATATATATGCACTCCATATAGAACATAAAATCCCATTGGAGCCCAGAATAATTCTGAATTTTACAGCTGTGGCAATATAAACGTAGGAAATCATCCTGTACTTAATTCGGATCATTTGTTTTGTGATAAGTTCCCAAGTCTCTCGTGGACAATACATGATTACGCGATTCGTCATTTGTACACGAGTGTCTGCATTCCCAGTTTGATGATTGTACACGAGAGTCTGCATTCCCAGTTTGATGATTGTACACGAGAGTCTGCATTCCCAGTTTGATGATTGTACACTAGTCTGCATTCCCAGTTTGATGATTGTACACGAGAGTCTGCATTCCTAGTTTGATGATTGTACACGAGAGTCTGTATTCCCAGTTGGATGAACACTACAATCACGGGATTGGTGCCGCCAAACCTGGAAACATAATCTGTCCGGGATTCGAACCCATTGTCATTGGTGCCTGGGACTCCTTAGAGACTCAACTTTGCTCGGTGGTTTGCGTCGCCTTTAACGAATGGCCTCAAGGTCTGCTATTTAACGACGGCTGCTTTACAAATATAGCGACCAGCTAAGACGACTTGGCCACCTGAGACCCTCAAGACAAGCAATTCAAATTCACTATGATATTACGACACATGATCTTTCTCAGTGTGTATGCTGTAGGGATGCGTAACTTAGTGTAACATATGTTCGGTATTATCTCGCTCAAGGTTTGTTTTCTCCCCTCGGGTAATGGCAGTAAGAAACTGATAATATTAACAACGCTTCTAAACTGTTATCATTTAGTGAGGCCGCGAGATATTAGCGAGATCCTGTTTGAGAACACAAATGGTTACACTGGATAAGACCAACGCTCATGTTATTAAATACCACACACATTTAGTTATTGTTAGGAGTTTTATCAATACATTGTTTTTAGAGCGTCTTATACTTAGGATATGTAATTATCAATTTATAAACAAGTGTTCATCCGGAGAAGATTATATGAAAATTAATCGCCACTCCTTAGTGACGATGCAATTTATGTTGTTTAAACAACAATAAAACAAGAAAATGAACCAGTTATATGGTCTTGTAAACGTGTGTTATGTTTCAAATATCAGTTTGTGGCATAATGACGTCATATATATTTTACATTTACTAATTGGTATAGCCGTGAAGATTCGGGTTAGAATTGATCTTCAGAAACCCATGCTTGTCGTAAGAGGCAACTAACGGGATCGGGTGGTCAGACTCGCTGGCATGGTTGGCACATGTCATCGAGTCCCAATTACGTAGATCGATGCTCATGCTGTTGATCACTGGATTGTCTGGTCCAGTCTCGATTATTTACAGACCGCCGCAATACAGTTGGTATATTGCTGGGTGCGACTTAAAACTAAACGCACTCACTTTACAAATTGGTAAAGGTCTGAGATCTTCATTCCAAAGTCAGCATACAGGCGGTGTAAAACTGAAATGCTTCACAAGGAGAGGTGTTAAACCAATGTACTTTCACTCCCTCTATGAAACGTGTCATACATGTGACTATGAATATCGACCTTATGCTTCGTCAGCTGCAGACTTGTAAGCGTTGAATGTCCCTCGCGTCATGTAATCTTGTTACAATATGTCTTTGACAAGTCTTAGAAACTGTACAAGATTGCCGGGAGCGCCTCTTCGTTAGTCCCATCAAAGGAACCTGTATGTTCAAGGTAATAGCTACTTATGTGTAAATAACCCGCTGAGTCCTGAATTCTGATCATGCATGAAGGTCTTGTATGGGGTTTGTTTTGCAAAAACTGCCTCACCTTCAAAAGGCCAGGGACAGATAAGGTTTATCTGAAAGTTCGTTGTAAACGTCACATGTCAAAATGATTATGCCTGCTTTGATTAATATAAATCGATATCTCGTGGTATGAAATGTCATTAATCTACACCGTTCACGTTTCAGCTACTCAGGCGATGATTGAAAATAGTTCCTTCTGAAAATCAGTACATTTCATCTCCACTCCGACAAGATGCTGAAATGGTGCGGAAGACCAACTGAAAATTACTACCTTTGCATTACATGAACCTTTGTAGATTTTACCCAAAGTAGGACCTTTCTGTCCGTGAAGCTTAGATAATTTCATCTCCCTTGCGCCAAAGAGTCTGTAAGCATATGCTTTAGGCAAATAGATCGAAATTAGCGAAAGAAGGTTAAGCGTGTCGTATATTTATCACACAACAATTTTCAATTGAAACTCACGAGGTTATGTATTATATACAGGATAATGCAGGTGTATTAAAAGAGGTAATATGATTTGGGTCTTCGTTAAACGATACCGGGGTCAATCGGTCAACAGCATTACTTTGGTACAACTGCAATTACCCTAATGAAGTGCCAATGCCCACAAGTTACTCATTGACATTGGAACATTAGGTTATTGCACACAAACTATATAGAGGTATAGGTCAATGATCTGGCTATGGAGTATTTGGAGTATTAGGATAAGACGACTGGTATATGAAAACTATTTGAACAATCATGTGAGCTGACTGTGTTTTGTGATGGGAACTTCATCCAAACTGAGCACTCTTCATATTTACATATGACTTGTTTATGATTTTTCAGTACAAAAGTAAACATTGAAATATGGGATAAACATTATCGAAAAAGGATAGAAAATCAATTTATTGTTATTGCTTGCAACATTTCTGATAGTCGAATAACACTGTATTATAACATGACAGCTTTAGTGCAAAATTAGACAGGAAAATATGATGTGGTAATGAATAATCGATCTTGATTAATTTCTGGATTGCAGATTCCGTATGTCATCCGAACGCCGGCAGTCAGCAGTAAATGAGAGCCCATCGCCCAGTGCAGTAGGGGACTTGCTCTGTCGACCGAGTAGCGAGATTATCGGCTGTGCCCGCAAGACTGTAGGCCGACCAACCAACAGCTCGATGTTCCAGCGTTCATGCTCTACTCGGAGGGAATCAACTCCTCGGAACTAGTGCCTCGCTCTCTGTCCGGCATCGAGTGATAGCAATGTGCGGACAATGGAACACTCTAACAGTACTACCTACGATGTGTCATCCATGTCAGGTAGGAATTCTGGCAGTAGCCATAACGGAAGAACGGAAAGCAGCTATACGACGGATTTATCGGTCACTACTGAGGTGCCGGTCAGCGAGATTTCTCTTAGTACGGAGTTTTACAATGCGACAAAAGTTTTTCAAAGTTTGGATGCGTATGTTAACACAAGTGCCCCTCTGGAAACCAGTACCGTGTCGGAGTTTCTTAACTTCACGGAATCTTTTACGCAATGGAATACGACAGCCACTTCCATAAGTGACAACCTCACGTTTGATTACTATAATTCAACTAATTTCACCGATCCATCAAACTCGACAGCAACAGGGCCGTTGTTTAGCACCCTAGAGGTGGTTGTGATCTCTATCGTGGTGTCAGTGTTGTGTGTGTTGACGGCGGGAGGTAACCTGCTTGTCATCATAGCTTTTAAGGTGGAGAAACAACTACAAACTGTCAGTAATTATTTCCTATTAAGTTTGGCTGTGGCAGACTTTACCATCGGTGTCGTCTCCATGCCTTTTTATACTGTCTATCTTGTGATGGGATACTGGCCTCTGGGTCCTGAGCTGTGTGACATATGGTTGTCTCTCGACTATACCATGAGCAATGCCTCCGTGGCCAATCTCATCATCATCAGTTTTGACAGGTATCTTTCCGTGACAAGGCCTCTCACCTATCGCGCCAACAGGACCTCCAGGAAGGCCTTGACAATGATCTTCTGTGCTTGGGTCATATCAGCAATGATGTGGACCCCATGGATATTTGCTTGGCCCTATATCGAGGGGCGGAGGACCGTTAAGTATAATGACTGTTATATTCAGTTTTTGAAAACAAATAAATACCTCACGATCATAACTGCAGCACTGGCTTTTTATATTCCCGTGTCCATCATGGTGATTCTTTATTATAGGATTTTTCTTGAAACCCAGAAACGACAGAAGGATCTTCCTAAGCTCCAGGCTGTTAAGAGATATTACGGCAGCAAAAAGTCCACCATATCCAGCGACGAGGAGGGTTACTCAAGCGTCAGTGAAAAACGAAGTCATTCCTCCCCAGAACTTCAAGACATCGAGGAGTATTCTCGGAGGTCTGAAAGAACTTCGTGTAGGAGTAAATTGTTGTCGTGTCTCAAAATTGATAGAGACTCGGATTACATAGAGGAATCCAGTACAAGTGACCCTCCAGCCTCGCCGGGGAATTCTAACGTGGTGACAACATCAACCACCAGTGCTGGTCAAAGTATTCTACGGGCCAATTTTCCGTCACGGTTCCGACAAAATAGTGCTGGCAATAGTTTAGCTTTAAACCGGACCCCTAAAACAGACGGTGTGAGCTGCAGTGGATCAATGATTCCCTTACTTCCGGTGGAGACGCCCTCTCCGTTCCCTTCACCTGGCCCTCCGCCTCCTTACGACATCACTACATCATTTTCCCGCCAAAACAAAGCGCCGTCTGCGCCCCCTCCTCTTTATGAAGACTGTGCATCAGACAACAGAAAGGAGACAATGTACACTGTCCTGATAAAACTTCCACGGGACGATTCGACGGATTCGGAAAACAAACCGTCTATACGAATGATACCCGATAGCGATGCAGATAGTATTTGTGAGTTGACGCCTTCTGTTCCACGCCACATTGACAGTGATTCTAGTGACGGCAGCCAAGCGGACAACTCCGACGACCTTGACCGAGACAGGGGATTACCTCCCCTTCCACCACCAAAAGGAACCCCTGCCTTGGGAAGGCGGGCTCAAAGCAATGACCAGAATAGACATGCCATGCAGCAACGCATGGCAATGAAAGTAGCCAACAAAGTTCGGAAGCAACGAGCACGACACAAAATGCATTCAAAGCGCCACGAACGGAGACAGGATCAAAAAGCGGCGAAAACGCTGACGGCCATTTTGTTGGCTTTCATAGTAACGTGGACACCCTATAACATCTTTGCCGTCACCATGGTTTTCTGCAATGGATGTATAGATGAGACTCTATATGCCATTGGTAAGATTGATTTATATTTTCCTCCAGGTATAAGATATTCTTTGGTTTTGTTAAAGGACATTTCTGAAATGAAAGGTTTTCGAGAATACCTTTAAACTTCATCTATCATATATGGGTCGTTCTCAAGAGGTTTTTAGCACAAATTGCGAAATACATTTCTGTGTTGTAAAATCGTTAAATAGGTATCTAAGTTGTTAATTCTCTGGAAGCGTATTAATGCCACAGTCTGTAAATGAAACTTTCATCTACGTAGATGAAAGAATCTTTTTGTAGATGAAAGTTTATTGTACGTCATGTACGTCAAGTGTCATGTACGTAGATGCTAATTTTGTTTATATTGTGGCACTAATACGCTTCTATAGGTATGCGATCCATCCATTCTATGTAACAGGTCCATGTTTGGCAGCACCACCCAATCAAAAAACAAGATGAAAGCATTTAATTTTCCTAGACATTGGAAGGTTTATTCATTAGTCATTGTATGTACAGCTACATAGATGATAATATGTGATTACAAACTTTTAAGTGGTGTTTTAATACATACAGGGAACGTGTTATGACTATGAACTACAAGGAATTCAATTGTTTACTTATCTTATCGGATAATGAAATTTAATCAGCGCCCCTGCCCGAGAGCGCCGTCAGTAAACCATTTCGTCTTATTTGATATTCGCAGCTCATTGCTTAAGCACTTTGTACATACATTATAAGTCGTCGATTAATATCTTTAACATTTGACCATATTAAATAATTGGAAAAGCTGAGTAATCTGAAACTACATTTGTAGCATATGTGTATGGTGTATTACATATGATCAAAGCAAACTGGGCTTTGAGGAGGAGCTTTACTACAAGCCACTGCCTAAAGCACCTCCTCGATATGGTTTTGTGGTCATCATAAAGACGATACGAAGCACCAGTCACCATTGTGAGCATTGAAGACAGACTTTTCATGGTTAAATGAAGCTTAGAACTTGCCATAAACTATTTGATTGTTGATAGTGATTGAAGTAACAGTACTTTCAGCGACGTGTATTCAGCCAGTTGTAAATATATTACCAGATCATATATGACATCGTTTTATACACCTCATTCGTTGTTTGAATTATATATATATCATTCTTTTCTGTTCATTTTCCACCACAACAAAGCATACATTGCCGAATGCAATGTGATTTTTAATTATCCTTTGTTCTCAACTGTTTTATCTGAACATATTGATAACCATCTTAAATTTCCTTCTTATCTTCTGGTATTCGTTTCTGGTAGAGTTATACTGAGGTCTAATATTTGAGTTAAACCAGATGGATAAGCCACAATCATAATTAACTGTGTTATATTGGTTCTAACACATAAACACAATGGCAATAGAGCTCCTGATTATCCAGAGAAGCAGATACGATCTTGTTTAAATCAGTGTCAAGTTGTAGCCCTTTCATTCTGCCCTGTATGCGTGTTCGGTGCATAGTAACACCGTGTTCCAGGATGTAATGAAAGCTGCCAAATAGGCCCTAATCTACATCTTGGTAACACTGCCTATTTGGATACTCGTAAGAACCGTAGCCATGTCAGGATCTGCAGTTGCCTTATCTCTGATGCGTATTTCAAATGAAATCTAAATCTATGAAGCTAAACCGCAACGGTTACAACGAAGGAACAGATGATAAGGTAAAACGTGTGCTGGAATGTTAACATGAGTGTTCTGTTCACGAAGAATTGTTTGCTTAAGGTACGCTCTATATGTAACTGTTACGCATGTTAAAGTGAAAGGGTAGAAGTTGTACAAGCATATCTTCGGTAACCAGACCAAAACCTACCCCCACACCGCATTCTGTTACCAGTTATAAACCGGTAACCGTGACTCGGTAAACCATTTCGTACCGTGACTCGTTTGCATAATCTCCTACCTTACTGTCCTGATGAATTTACTGATAGATTTTGTTTGCTGCAGCAATAGACATTCTTTGTACTTAAGCGACCCTAATACCATTTAACGTCAGTTACTACGACTATATAAGTGACCATATTTGCATATGCTTCGTCGGCTTTCATTCGCTGTATTTCACAAATGTAAAACAAGTTCAGCCACGGTATCGAGTTTGTCTACATAAAAATATGGAGAAGATTGGCTCATTTGGTCATTGTATATTGCGAGTTCGTTGAGGTACATTTCTGACTTTATCGTTCGCAAAACAATGCAACAAAGGTAGCTTTGATTAACGTTATTGATACTAATTACACGTGCATGTGTGTACTCCCCTAAAACAAATTACACATTGATTAACCCGAGCACTGTGGATTAGATTCCTGATTCGTCCCGATTGTGTTTCTAGGTTAGTCAGCAAGTGGGAAATGTCTTATATCTGCATCGTGCTTTCCTCCATCATCATGCTAACACATTGTGACTAACTGCAATACTGTTCCAGGGGACGTTAAACAAGACTCACTCAATGTGCTGAATTGCTTGTAAGACCTGATCATATGTATATTTTAAACTCAATTTTAGTAGAGCTGTGATGATATATCGTAGTATCGATAATCGTTCAACTTTATCTGACGATATGTATATCGATACTTTTGTTCGTATCGTGATATGTATCGTTGACCTAAAAGATGTTAATGTTTACTAGAAATTGACGGTTATGTAAAAATTTACACTGTTACTTGCAATCAGAATATACCTTTTAAATTTTTAAAGAAAATAACTAAAGATAGCATATCGTGATTTGCATCGAATCGAATCGAATCGTATCGTTCCAAGATATCGCGATACGTATCGTATCGTGACATTTCCGTATCGTCACACCTCCAAAGTTTAGATACCTTCACGGTTGTTTTGTGGAACTTAAGTTATCTTATTCTTGATATCAAGGCAGCATCTGCTTCTAGTTAGTTGCTGCGGCCAGTCTTACCGCAGACACGTCGCTCAATTCTCAGTGCAGAAGATTATCCCTTAACTACGTTGTGTTGCTCGTATGTCGTCTGTCCTTTGGAAGAGTAAGTGCCTAGCCCGGGGCAGGGACTGACACCATAATTCACATGGAAGTGATAATTTGAAACTCAAGGTGGCGAGTAGGTAACACTTTGGGTTGGGTTGGTCTCATTTCAAAATACCATTTTGGTCCAGATTGTCCTTTGACATTAGCGATCATATAATACCACCTTCAAATCTGGAATTAATATTTCTTTTACATTTCATGCACTTGTATGAACACTGTCCCGTTTATAGTTATTGGAATCATCGTTGTATCTTTGATTTAGTGCGGTCATTATGTTACCGTTTATGAATACAGTAACATATATACGGTTCCATTGATAACATTTAATGTTTGCGTCATTGCTTTGGATTTGATTGACGCTGTCAATTAGATTCATTTTTCGTCTTGTCTCATGTGTAAGATATCTTCGTGTCATATCTGCCATATGAAAACCATCTGTATGCCATCATGGGATAGTCATTATGTCATGTGGCAGCTGTAACTGCAACCAGATTGAGAAGCTGGAGTTCATTCCCAACAATGTAGGTATTGTAATAGTACATTCCACAATTAACCCAAGTGGAGAGAGTACATTTCTTATATATTCCAGTTGGAGAACGCTCACTTAATTAATAACCCATCTGCATAAAATTATTTTCGTATATTACCAAGCTGCTTAAAAGTCATTTTATATTATTACCCAACTTGATAAAATGCATTACTTATGGCACATTTCTTGATAGAACGTATTCCCATAACTATTACCTAGCTGGATTAAACCAATTCCTTATATAACACATCTGAATAGAATGCATTCCTTATATTTACTATCTGAATAAGACACGTCCCTATATAATCCATCAATACAAAACAAATTCCCCATATCATCAATCTACATATTACATATAGTTAATGTCACGTCCCTAAATAACCCATCAAAACAAAACAAATTCCCCATATTAACCTTCTACATGTAACACATTCTATATATCACCTATTCTTGTATCTGATATTACGCGCATCCTCTGTACACTACTCATCTGATGAAGCACATTCTATTATTACCAAGATGGGTAAAGTGTAACATGTTTTTTATTCCCTTGCAATGACCAGTGATTTACCTCCAGTTCAACTATACTGATGTACAAAAGAAAGCTTTGAGACTATTAAACAACGTAAATATTTTGCTAACAATGTACCCAATTGGGTACGATATCTATGGTGTTATTGCAACACGTACACAATGTTTGTGACTTGTGAGTCGCAATCAAAACACTTTTCGAAATATTATGCTGTTTTCAGGAAAACATTTTACCAAAGCATCAGATGTGTACTTTCTTTTGTACGTCAGTATAGCAATAAATTATTGCTTTCCTTGATTCGACACGGCATTGTAATCATATGAACTTGCTTTGGCTGGTTAATTAGTGACAAATAGGTAATCATTATCAAATGTCACATTGAGCTTGCAATAATTATGCAAACTACATTACGGTTGAGTCAAATGAATTATACGCCAGGGCAGTTATAAGCTCAAATCTAACTTAACCATACTGACAGTTCACAAATATTTGCAGTCAGAAGCTCTACCGAAGCATCATAATATACCGAGCATGTATAAAACAATAACATGGCTAAATGCATTGACAGGCGTAAGTTTGATGAAAATCCTCAAACACCACTTTCTAAAACGAGCAATCACTCGAAGAGGTAGTGAGGTAGTCCCTTTCAAAAATACCTACACCAAACATAAGCAGCAGCATGTAGAGCGATTCAAAGTCCACCTCAAAAGGAAGTATTTTGTAACCTGCTTTTATCAAGTAACTGTTCAACTCAGGCCATGACTTGGAAGTCATGATGATCGCTGTGGTGGTTTATTTTTCAAGTGCAACGAGAACAATGAATAGATATAATTTACTTCACCTACCTTTAAACAGTAAATGCTTCAAAATGAGAAATCTGATTTCGTTTCCTGATTGGTTGAGACGGCTTTCTCTGTATAACTATTATTGAAAACAATTTA